TTTCCTTGTAAACCTTTACAAATAGACATGATCTTTTGATCGGAAGCTTTTCGAGATTTTGTTGCTACATAAGACCATGAGCTTGAATGCTGGTATGCCAAAACCGCTATGTGAACCAGCTCGGTATTTTAAAGTTTCCCTCCAACCCATGCTACAGCAATCTACTCTTTTCTTCACAACCATATTGCCCACAGGCTTTTCACAATCATTTTGCAGATAGGCTCACGTCGACTTACATTGGTTATCAGAAAGTACTGGAAGGCCTCACTCAAGTCTCATAAGTTTACTGCAAGTGGTAATTACTCACTGCTGTCACTGATAACACAGTCAAAAAGGATGTTCATTCCTAAATAGCTACCCAGCTAGTGACACTTCAATTCTAGCAGAGAGAAGGTGGGAATATTCTGTGATATCAGCATATATTATAACAAATTTAACAATTTGTAAGATTTTCTTAGAAGTCTTCAGGCCACTGAGTCAGACAGCTATCACCAAAGAACATCCAAATGTTGTTGCATATTGTTCACTCTGAAATAATCTACGGCTTTAGTCCTTATGTTATATATTTATACTGCAAATTCACCAAAGCATTTATTGTAGATATATTTGCATCTATGTCTCTATATATACATATTTATATTTAGCAGATTCTGAACTACAGTTTCTTAACTTAACACTTTTCTTTGCCACATAGATAATAATTATGTGAAAGCACATCCACCTTGGACTGACAATACACCATCACATCTCAGAATTTATTAGTAAGTTGAGTTTTATCTTGTTAAGCCAAGCTGTCAGAATTCAGATTATAAAACATTATGCCAATTTTGGGATAATGTCTCAATAGCATGCAATAAAGTATACATATTCTAAGTATTAGAGGTGTCTAAAGTGGACACCAAAATATAAATGTTCTTATTACAGTTGGCACCATATTTATAAAATTCAATGCACAGAAACACTACTGGAAGTGTTGTCATTGAAGTTACTGAAATAATTTGTCTTGTCGAAAAGGCTTACTAATTAGCAAAGTTGTTCTTTTTTTTTACCATATACCGTTTGTTGCAACACATCACTGCAATAAGCCTCTTTTGGGGGCGATCACCTGAGCCGCAGCTTTTCACTGTATGTTGGTAGCTACACTAACCTGAGCTGGAACCTCATCAGATGCAAATATCCAAAGACAAACAAGAGAGAGAAAGCAAACCATCGCATGGGTGCTGTAGGAAGTGGTATGACTGATGTAGTACCTGTTAGTTTCCTACGCCTATAATGATAAACCTAAATCCCCTGCAAAATCAGCACCGGTTTTCTTTTGGACAGGTGTCATTTTTGACAAAGTTTAAAACAAAGATTGTTTCCCCTTGATCCAGTCCCCAAGTTATTCCTCAGGCTAAGAGCTGCCAGATTTTATCAGCCAACATACCACCCATAGAAAAGATACAAATGACAAGTTTGTGCTGCATTCCTGGTATGTCTGTCCACAGCCTGGAGACCCTTGCATTAGTCAAAATGACAATATTAGGGTCAAATTCTACTATGGGTAATTACATTTTGCCATATCCACTGCAGTGTCAACTACAAATTATATACCTCACTTTGACTTGTATGTGATTGTTTTCGAGAGCTATTAAAAATAGTCACATTAATCCCAGCAAAACTATACTTCATCTTGAACAAAATCCTGTATTTATAGCTCTAAAATAATTTGGCTGTTCAGAATGGTAAGTGATTAATAATATATCGTTAGAAGCTACTTAATATTTTCCTGCATCTCCTTACTTTTTACTGTGCACTGACAGACACCAAACTCCCTGTCATGTAAATTCAGTTTGGTGAATGCTAACACACACAGACACAAGTCTGCTTTGGTATCAGAGAGGATCGATTAGTGAAACATTTATTTGGAGCTGATTGAAAACTGACTTGAGTTTCAACAAACTTCAGACTTGCATAATTATACGACAGCATTTCAGTACAACTCTAACACTAATAAAAGAATATAATCTATTAGTTCTTTTAATACTGCAAAGTAATGCCATATGCTGAAGTACTTTAGCCAAAAGCTCATGTGCAGATTCAAGTACCAGCTCACAAATTATATTTTGCAGTTTTGCCTACCGTTATACAGGTGCTGATGATAAAAGGGCCTGCCTGAACCCTCTGTGTATTTATGAAGATCTTCTAAATTATCTCAAACTAGAAGGCCTCAGGATCATAAATCTGACTTCAGATGAAAACTATACTGAGGAAAAGCAAGAATTTTAAACTTAGCAAATGGCATGGTCATGAAGGATCTTCATCACCTTTGAGTGTTAATGTCAGGAGTATGAATAAACTTACTCCTAATGCATAAAAAGCTTTATTACACCAACCAATAATAACAAAATTTTTGGAATAGATTTTGTTTCCGCTGCACTTAAGGAATGAGAAATCCATCAAGATAAAATATTATTTGACAATTCCTTTGACGTACCAAGCTTTAAAATAATATTTACTTTCACTCTCAAGGAACAGATGTGTAACCATTTGCAATTAAACAAAATGAAGTACAATAAATATTTCACAATATATTACATTTAGAAACATCAAAAGATTTATTTCAAGAACCAACACTGCCATGGTAACCAGTCAAATATTTTTAAAAGTAAACTTTAACAGTTTACTAATAATAGTTTCTACTATTACTTGTATTTTAAAAGTTAGATATTCAAAAAAGTCTTAAGAGCCCAGAATACGGATACCTATAGAAATCTGAATCTTTTTCAGAACATCAAACATGTATTATCCAGATAATTAAATAGGAAACTTTGGAAGTCAAAACAGCCAGTGCTTAATAGTCAAACCTAGGGAAAGGGATTTCAGTAACTAAACTCTTTGGCAATCACATTCAGAGAAATTCCAGTATCTAACTAATCTATCACTGAAAATTACAATACACCAAGCCAAGACACAGGAAATCAAGGAGGGAATGTCAGTTTTTACCATCTTAAATAGTTTGGTGGGAATTGGGTTAAGTTTAAAACAAAATATCACCAGCAATTCACAGAGGGAACTTTTCTTGACATAACTGAGGAACACTTAAAAATTCTTGTTTCAATATATATTTAATCATCATACATTACTGGATGTTAATCAGCAATGGCTGGTCAACATAATTGTATAGTCCATACTTATCAAATAGTAACAATAATATCAATGATAGCCAGGAAATTCATAGCATGGTCAACATAGATACTGTGTGCCCAACACACTTGCAGTCAAGCTCCAGCTCACTGAGTACTTCTTGATCAAAACTATCAAACTGGAGCCAGTCTGATATCTTTCAACTTCTTGTTTAGACAGGAAGGTGTCAATACATATTCTACTGGACACTGAAAAACCGCCATGAAGAACACACAGATCCCCAAGTTTAATTGCAGATGTAACTGCAGCATTCATTTTCAATACATGTAGCATCTGCAGTACATTGATTTATTCACAGAGAAAGAACATTTTTGTCTTTGATACCTAAGATATTTGCCTCAAAGTCTCATATCTTGCATACTGCTAAAATATTAAAAGAAAATAATCATATGTTCGTTACTTCCTAAATTCAGATTTTGAAAACTGAAACTGTTACTTATTTGTGGAAGGGAGAGAAAGGAAAATGAAACTATCTGAAAGTTAAGGCTTGGCCTGATGTTTAGAACTGCTGAGTATCTGAAATTCTCAATAATTTTGACAGAGTTGTGATTATTTAAAAACTAAGAGTTACAGGCAATTGGAACTTAATTTTTTACCTGTAGCCAGCTTTTACTGAAGTGCTATAAACAAACTGGATGAAGGGAGAGAGGACACGCTCAGCAAGTCTGCAGATGACAGAAAAGTGGCTGATACTGCAGACGACTGGGGTGCCATTTAGACGGACCTTAACAGGCTGGAGAAATGGGCTGACAGGAACCTTACGAAATTAGGCAAATGGAAATGCAAATTCCTGCACCTGTGGAAGAATAATCCCCCTTTGCATCAGTACAGACCAGGGGCCAACTGGCTGGAAAGTAGCTTTGCAGAAAAGGACCTAGGATTCCTGGTGGACAACCAACAGGTTGAACATGAGCCAGCAATGAGCCCTTGAGGCAAAGGCAGCCAGCAGCCTCCTGGGTTGCCCGCGTCACCGGCAGACTGAGGGAGGTGAAGCCATGGTGAAGCCATATCTGGAGTGCTGGGTCCAGTTCTGAGCTCCCCAGTAAAAGGGAGACATGGGCATATGGGAGAGAGCCCAGAGAAAGGCCACAAAGATAAAAAAAGGGATCCGAGCATCTGGCATACAAGCAACTGAGAAAAATGGGACCGTTCAAGAGAAATAAAAGGGACAGAAGAGAAGGCAGATCAGGGGGGATCTTATCAAAGTGTACGAATACCTAATGGGGGGAGTAAAAAGATGGAACCAGACTCTTCTCAGGAGTGCCAAGGGAAATGACAAAGAGGCAAGGATCAAAAATTGAAATAGTAGAAACCCCATTTAAACACAAAGAAAAGCCTTTTTACTGTGAGGCTGGTACAACACTGGGACAGTTTGCCCAGAGAGGCTGTCAAGTCTCCATCCTTGGAGATATTCAACACATGACTGGACATGGTCCTGGGCAGCCTACACTAGGCGACCATGCTGGAGCAGGAGAGCTTGACTAGCTGATCTCCGGAGGTCCCCTCCAACCTCAGCTATTCTGAGACTCTTTGGAAAAACGAAAACACAAACCTCACAGACAAGACTGAATGATGCATATCATGACATGGGTTCCAAGAGTTGTAAATAAGATGAGGTTTTATCAAGCTGTTATCAGTGTCCACGGGTCAAGCTATGAACAGCTCAACTAAGCAATCTTTCTACCTGATTGCCTCTTTTATTTCCCCTCAGATCCTGTAATACTGTCACAAATTCTGTTTTTTTTATTTAGTAGGAAAGACACAGCAGTGAGCTAGTCTAGATCAAACTTCTCAAAAGTCTTCTATTTACTTACCAAAGCAGGATGACAAAGGAGTCTTTTTTTCTTATTATTGTGTATGTGGTAGAATCCTCCTTCCTCCTCCTTTTTCCCCATTTTGGAACATGCAGCTTAGTCAAAAAACGTTTCAATAGCCCTCTACGTTGTAAAGGGGCAACCTTCATTACATTTCTTCACAATCTACTTGCAAAGTGTATAGGCATACTCAGACTTTACCTTCTTGCATTCTGGCTACACGTGTAATCTGTGTCACTATAGTGTTAAACATTTTCCGGGGCGTCACCAAAGCTTTGCTGTGAAATCAGGACCCGAGCGAGACTCACCAAAACGGTGAGGCTGACTGAAGTCAGTAGATAGATAGTCCTTAACTGGGAACAGGCATTCAAAGCATAAAGGATAACAGTCTTACTCATGCTAGAAGTTTAGATACAAATGACTTATTTTATTTTAGCAGAAACTGTGGCTACTTCCCACTTCAAAATATAAATCACACACTGTAGCATTCATCTACAGCTCAGCAAGCAAGCTCCTGAATAATGTCATGTGATTGGTGCCAATATAATCATACAACATAGGGAACACGCTTTTGAAAGCTTTTCATGCTCCGTGTACCTCATTTTATCTATGTATGGATGAAGAAACGCCCATATTGAACTTTACTATATAAAAGCTGTTCCATGTTCTTCATCCAGGAAAATCAAGATATTGTTAAAGAAAGATTTTTTTTTTTATCCAGCCTAGACCTTTACTGTACACCGAGATTAATATATTCTGAGCTGCAATTATTTTATCAAAAAGGCAGAGCGGTCTTGTCTGGGACGAGACGATAAACGTAATCTCAATCTCCACATGTCTCTGTTATTCAGTGATACAGAAAAGGTTAAACAACTTTTTGAAGTAGCAGGTTTCTATTCAACAGCAAAAACATACATAACAATGCATTAGAAGGCACTTACTTCTGGGCTTTGATTTGCTGCTGTGATTTCTCTGATGTGGCGAGGGATGAAGTCCAGCAATTACAACATATCACCCTCTCAAAAGCTTGTGATAGGATGGTCTCTTCTTGCCATAAAACTCTCTCTCTAGGGGCTCTAGCAACCTAAGAAATCCCCCCTCTTCTCCCCAGATAGATGTACCTCACACCATTAACTTGCATCTTAAAAGAGTTAATGAACAACTCCCTAAAGAAATCTTTCTCGAACTGTGAAGGCTGATGCTTCCTTTTGCCATTCTTTCCCTTTGCTAATAAAAATAAACAAACAAATAAATAATTAAAGAGAGAGGATAGAGACAGAGAGAGGACAGACAGAGAGAGAGAGGACAGAAGGAGAAAGAGAGCAAGGACAGAGAGAGACTTAAAACATTTCTTCTGAATAGGAGATCGTAAAGGAAACCAACACTAGCCAAGAGTATCTTACAGAAGGCCGGCCATCTCCCATGCCCCACACATTGGGAACCCCTACTATAAGTAAGTCGACTCACAATACAAAGGACACGCTGGCAGGAATGACCTTCTTTCATTACTGAACTTGAAAAAGAATGTATATACTTGAAGATATGACAGGCCCTATGGGCCCTTAAAGAACCAAGCAGAGAACCACGCTTATAGATCTTCTCTAAGCCAGTTTACCTTCACCTTTAAAAAGAAGTAAGATATCTGAGAAGCATTCCTTCAATTGAACAACTACCAAAAAAACAATCTTGAATCCAGAAAGATTTGTTAGGGTTATCTGTTTTAATGTGCTGCATATGACACGCTAAAGAACCCACAAATTGAAACATGCAGGTAATCATGAAAGGGGAAAATGATCCATTTCATGTATTTTTTCCTTTTGCAATATTCTGTTGTATTTAAATTTTATATACATATTTAAAAAATTGAAAGAAGCAGAGCTGCTACAAAAGCAGAGAAAAATAATTTCAATAAATTATTCCCTGTCTTAGTACTATTTTTTTGCAAGCAGTCCAACTGACAGATTTTCTTTCTAAAGATTGAGTTTTATTGAGCATAAGAGCTGACCTATTCCCAGAACCCCAACACCTGCTACCAAACAATCTGTTTCTTGCTGTTTGACTAAAAATTCCTGGAAGCAGGCCAAGCAACAAAGAACACAACTGCAAAGGTTCAGTTGCTGCAAAACGGGGTTAGAAAAAGCAATGAGGAGTTTTAAACTAAGTTGTCATGGTATTTTTTACATCTCTGTGTCAAGGAAACAAATTAACATGAAGTTTAAGTTGAATATCCAATACATTGGATATTATACTGCAACACATTTACCAGATATTCCTTATATGGAAAATACAAGATCACAATGATTCAGTACTTTGAGTCATGCTTTCACATTCACAGATCTTCTCAAATGATTACAGATTTATTGAGCAATCTGATCTGACCAAAGTTCAATAGCACTTTAAAACTGGTCATACTCTGAGCAGACGCTTGGACCTGACAGTTTCCAGAGATGAGTCTAATTGGTTGCATAAACTTCCACGCAAACACCTACAATTTTTTAGATGAACTTGGGGGAAGTAATTCTATGCTATATCTAAAACCAGTTTAAAAGGAGCTAATTGATTATCAGGTCAATTTTAAGTCATAAGTATGTTTGTAAACACAAGCCTGAGCACGCAGACACTTGTCCTATCACGCATTTTTTTACTCTTTGCCTTATTTAAAAATTTTTAAAAGTAAGAATAAAGTCCAAATTAAATCAGAAATGAATGACCTGGACCTATTTTTTCCCCCAAAACTTTCATTAGCAATAAAGTAACAGAAAGTTATAAAAAACCTACTTTAGTCATATCACAAATATGCAGTCATAATGAATGATGTGTGGCTTCTGCAGAAGAGCGTACAATCACTTTTGTAAAATCTGCATGTTCCTGAATGGTTTTTATTACATGCTGCACAATCCAAAACACATATCCTACAGGCAGGATCAGCTGTCCTGCAGGCAGAGAAGACGGGGCAAGATATCAAAATTATAGTGCCAAAACTCAAGTGACAGCACAAGGAATATTACTGCAAATGAGATAAGCTAATCACTGTCAGCGCTCTGGTTGGTAAACTAACGGTTGCTAGCACAATGTTGTACTGGAGTTATTTCTGTCTATTTCCTGATACTTTCCAATTTTTCCCCTCTTAAGATAAGAAGACTTAAACCATAAGTAAAAATAGATAATTTCATGGAGAAAAGTCATTCACCTTTACTTTCCAGAAATAATTACTCTATCACGATTTTTTTATAACGTATTCTACTGGACAACATTTTGGAAATAAAGCATAACTACATTTAACACCTGCAGACTGAACATGGTCCGGAAGGCTGCATATGAAGTTATTCTCTGGATCTAGCAATTCCCAGTCCAATTTTCTTTGCAACACACGAGATGGAAATACAATGCACACTTGAAATGCTATGCTGACTCGACTTCTCTTTTCAGATATAAGACAAATTAAAAAGTAAACCCACCATCTTATCTTATAAATAAGCAGCTGTGACTTCAAATAAACAAAATCTTTTCACACTTACATTACTTTTTAGAATATGACTTCATTTGAGGCCTTGCCATAGCTAGCAATATCAGTTACCATCTCCAGCAACCATGCACTTGCAACTAGATAGCTGATACAGATATATTAAAGATAGATTAAACTATACTAGATATATTAAAGTCTAGTGCAGAGAAAGATCAGCAGTCTACCAGTTACCCTGTTAATTTTTTTCTAGTACCTATGGTTCCTCAGGGGTCAGTTATATACTATAATTTGAACTCAAATGGAGTAAGCATTCTGATTGTAAGAGATAATTACTTACCTTATCTCTTAATGTTAAGTTGATTATGTGCTAATGTGAGAGGCTATCCAGTGGCAGCTGGAACATTTTCCTTACGCTGAACCACTGCCTACAGTTAATGGAGTACTGTGTACTAGAAATGACTTCAGACATTTTTTTTTTTTTATAATGGAAAGTCATGTTCACACCAGTTTGATGAGTTCTGGGATACAGAAGGAATAAAGGATATTATCTGGCAAGTTCCATCACAAGTGAGTTAAATGTGCTATTATTTTGAATTAGAATAAAGATTATAACTTTCAAGGAGCTGCCTTATGGATGACATCTATTCAAATGGTGGAGAACATAACTATTTTTTTTTCCTCCGACTAAGGATGCAAAGTTATAGAAGGAAAAAAAACTCACTTCAGTTTCAAACTTCTGGATACTTTTGTGAGGACACTGACAGGAACCCATTAAGCAGAGTTACAGTTCATCTCTGCGGATTTATTTATAGTTACCAAAATAATAAGAGGACAGTATGAAAGCTATATCAAAACTTATTTGTTCTTAACATAAATCTTTCCAAATGAGAAGTGTCAAAAGTCCTACGATCATAAAAACTAGAGGAGTACACCTCTAATTTTATGCTAACCTCAGTACGCTATAAAAATGTCCCTGGAGAGAAGGTCTGAACAGAACTAGTTTGTAGGTGCAAACCTCAACCAGATACACAGCATCCTCTCTTGACTCATTGTCCCTTGTAAATAGAGTCAAAATACCAACTGTTAAAGAACAGCCATGATTTCACTCGTATATATTAATCATTGTCTTGCATTAAACAACAAAAACTGTAATATTTAAAATCTGAATAACTCATGCACATTATATAGTACGTATCAGAAATTTGCATCTTTCCTCACATATACTCCATAAAAAGACCAGAGAATGAAATCTCAGCATTAAATAAAAGCAAAGGTTCGTCCTTGTAAGGAACAATGCTAACATTGGACTGCTAACAGGGAATCAGTAAGAAATAACAAACTCCATGCTTTCACGTATTCGATAAGTCATAACTGAAAGATCTGGGAGATGCAGTGAAAATAAAGGCTGCAATGTCCCAAATTTAAAAGTTACACTGACCTAGTGGCTCTGTACAAATTTCATTTTTCTTGGAAAGCTGCTGAGTTTTATATTGTAGTAATCGTTCTTAAAAGTCACTTTGCAGCAAATCTGTAAGTTTAGTATCAAAAGGACTATTCTTGTGAAGTGACAACATTTCACTCGCACCAAGAAGCAATAAAAATACCATTTGTCTAC